ATGCTGCAAATCCCTTTTTCTCCATTCTCCTCTTTATATCTTGGGCAAGCACACACATGCACTCAGCATGAGTTTTAAACTGCTGGGTCCAGGACTTGAACTGTGGTCGACTATGTGGGAGTCCAGTGATGTAACTATTATGTCATCTGCTGGTTAAGAGTTTCTGATTTCTTTTTTTTTTTTTTCTGCCCTTCTTTCCTAAATAATAATCTTGCTTTGTGTTCCCTTTTCTTCTTTATATCCACCATGAGATTTCTCTGCTATCCTTTTCTGTTGCTTCTCTGGAAGTGTATTATTATTTGTTGTTATTTTTATTTTTGCTCTCAAAAATGCACACACACAAAGACACACACACGTATGTGTACATATGTCAACATCACAGTACATTTTGTTCTTTTTCTAAGTCTTAGAACTAAATGTTCCATGTCAAGTGCCTTGTACAACAGAAATCTCAAAATCTTTTTTTTAACTGAAATCAAGAATGTCAGAATGATTAGATAAAACTTTCATTCCTAGTCTCAAGTGTTTCGAGAGAGGCTCCTTCTGAATAGAAATGAAATTCATAAAATTTGCGACTAAGATGAGGACTCTGGAATCCTGTGGCTGGTATCGCAGACTTCACCAGGTACTGAGACTTGTAGGTGATTTTCGGTTGTCCAGTCAGCACCATCCTTAGCACCAATGTGTGTTGGGGCTGTGCTGGCTGCAGTTCAAGTGCCCCCCCCCCCACTTTCATATTCCTTCTGAGGCAGTCTTCGGTCACTACCGTCTCTCAAGCGGTGAGAGCTCGAGATTTTCACAAGATTTGAATTTGTTTCCCCAGAGTTGACCACTCATCTAGAGAGCAAATCCCAATCAAATCAGCCTAAGTATGGAGGGTTCATGGGAAATGTACTTTATAAAAACCAACCATGGATTTCAATTTGTTTGGTACCAAAAGAAAGTCATGCTTTAATTCTCTATTTCCACACATTTTTTATGTCTTCCTCTCTCCTCTTTCTGTCTCTCTTTCTGTAACCATGTGTGGTCTTTCAGATTTAGTTTCTCGTGTGTATTCTCTCTGACTCTCCTCCTTTCTCTCCCATTTCTGTCCCATTTTCATTTTCTTTCTCTGTAGGATACTAGTTCAAAACATTCACCAATCCCAACATCATGTCATCTCCTTCTCCCTAGTCGTCTCCATTTTTTAGAATTCCTGTTCCAAAATTCCTGAAAAAAAAAAATTAGTACTGATACTCTCTTTTAAACCCACAGTATGGATTTCTGGAAAAACTATCAGTGAATCCTTCCCCTGGATCTAATCAGTGACCCTCTGGGATATAGGGCTTCTTGCTCTTCTATGCCAGGGGCAGTGAGTAGATTATCTGTAAAGATGGGGAGATTCTTTAAAAAAATTAGTGCCTTTCTTAAGGATATTAATTTACTTTTTTTTAATCCCAGCAATTCTTTTCAATAAAACGTAAGCATTTACTGTGCAGGATCATGACAATGTCTTAAGGTAATTTCTGTGATATATGTATGAGAGATACACTCACAGGAAAAAGCCCACCTCAACATTGTCCCTGATATGTTTTTCAACATTTTGTGTGCTTAGTATCAAAAAGAGATTGATTCTCAAAGACATTTTATCTTACAGTATTCTTCCTAAAGTTTTTAGGAGATCTGAACTTGGCAGTTTTGGCTTCCCAGAGGGTCTTTGATTTGATTCAAGTCCGTGGTTGAGAAGATAAGGTCAAATTTCTATCACATACTCATCTAACTGCAGTGACAGACAAGACAGGCAAATAGGGAAATTTCTTGAAAAATGTTTTAGGTTACTAATTCTTGGGATTTTCAATGTTATTTGTATTTTAATTCCCATATTCTAGTAAACATATCCTTAGGAGAATGAAAACTCCCTCTTCTCCAGTAAATTTAACTGTAGAAGCTCTAAAACATAAAGCTTGTATTAAAGTGTCAGTCCAAATATGAATCATATGAACAGGTGGTAGTATTTTGAATAGCTCATAGAATATAACAAAATAATTACCCAAAGTAACGGAAAGAATAAGGAACACAAGCTCTGACTTGTATGTCTAGATAGGAGGTGGCTTCACAATGAACCGTGGTACATAAAAACAGGTAACACAAGGAGGAATGATCAATGGTGTAAGAATGCTTGCAAAGAAAGACCCATTGGGAAGCAAGTTGGGTCTGAAAGCAAGATTGTTAGAAAGTACAAAAGAGGGGTCAGTAGGTGTCATGGTGGTTAAGATGCTGGATTCCCACATGGCTGACAATGGTTCGAGTTCTGGACCCAGTGACTTGAAAATCATACCAAATGCATTTGCTTGCATGCTCAGAATCTCACGATTTCATTGTGGCCATCTCCCCAAGGGGGTAGATTTCTCACTTTCCCTCTCATTTTCTTTCTCTATCTCTCTCCAGTGAGTGTACATGCCCTATGTAAAAGAGGCAGTTATACCCTAAATTTCTGCTATCATTCCTCAAGTCTACAATTTAAAAAAACTGAACCAGATGGGTTCTGGGCTCAGGAACACCAAAAGTAGTGGAGGAAGAGAGCAAGCAGAAGAAAGATAGAGGTCTCTAAAAATTCTGACTTCTGTCCAGCAATTTTTAAAGTTTCCAAACATGATGATCATTGAAAGTTGATATTGAAGATTAACAGCCACAAGCTCAGTCCCCTCCTCACTAGTTTTACTTCTACTATTGAACACAGGCAATAAGCTGACTTAAATCTCTCACGCAGAAGATGGGAAGATTCTTTTCTGGAAACATAGAATCATCCTAGAATAAAACCTTACAGATCCTGACATTTGGGGAACTTCTATGAAAGAACTGGATTCAGAGAAACCCACTAGTTGATGCATCTTATTCAAGCATGTAGTCAGCCAAGAATTTCCAAAATTTGAGAAAATCCCTAAAGATGAAAGAGTTGGCGATTGGTGAGGCCAGATCCCATATGGCCAATTGCACAGTTCAAGTCCTGGATCTGGTGGCTTAAAAAGCATAACAGGTACCTACGTGTCTAAAATCCTGAAAGGATAAATGGAGGAAAAGGGATTGTGAATTGACTATCCTCCTGGGGTGGGGGGGCGGCATTTCTCACTTTCTCACACGAGCACACATGCTCTTTGGAATATTTTTCTTTCCTTTGGTTTTTGGTATAGGGCACATACACTTGCTGAAGAGAGACAGAACAGGAGAGAAAGAATGTGAGAAAGCAATCCCCACCCGGCCACGGGGGAAGACCACACTGCAATCCTTTCTCCTCCATTCTCTTCTCAGGATTTCGGCAGGCATTCACATGAGTCCAGGGTGTTTTTTAATCTGCTAGGTCTGAGACTCCAACAGTGCAGTTAGCCAGGTGGAATTCAGCTGCCTTAACCACCATGCCACCTGCCTGACCCAATAGAACAATTTTTTTAAAAAGAATATTTTAACTTTAACTTTATTTATCTTACTTATTTTAAATTTGACCAGAAAGGGACAGAACGAGCAAGGGAGAGAGAGAGAGAAAGAGAGAGAGAGAGAGAGAGAGAGAGAGAGAGAGAGAGAGAGAGAGAGAGAGAGAGAGAGAGAGAGAGAGAGAGAGAGAAAGTGAGAAATCAAGCTACCAGGTCCAGAATTTGAATTGCATCGGCCATGTGGGAGTCCAGTGCCCCTAACTACCACACCACCTGCCAGCCCCAAACAACTACTTTTTTAATAAAAAAAAAGAAAAGAAAGAGCACAGAAAACAAAATAAAAGAGATCCTTAAATTAGAAAAGCAAGTCAGGAAGTCTGGTAATTAAAAAGGAGTGAGAGAAAGAACAGAGAAATAATGAAGAGACATTTATCAAAGACACAATAGAAGGAAATATCCCAAAATAAAGGTCAATCTTCCAGCTTGAATGGCTGGGACAATTTCCCTGCTCAATGAATGAAAACATGTTCATCACTGTGAAATTTCAAAATCTCAGATATAAAAAGCTGATCCCAAAACCTTGTTGAGAGAGATAGGAGAAAACCAATTTACATACAAAGGACTGGTTATAACGATGGTATTGTTTATAGACTTCGTGACTCTCACAGAGTTGTTTTTGTTCCACTAGAGCCAAAATTTTGGTCAAATCCCTTCTCCTGAAGTTTTACCTCTCAATTCTCCTCTCACTACCCATCAGCCCATAAAGACATTTCTGCAAAGTTTTATCACAATCTCAAAACAGTCTAGTCTCCCCGTACACATTGTCAGATTTGGCACTGACAGACTAAGTGTGTAGTGGCCTGGATCTGCCTTCCTTTGGGGAGAGCCATCTCTTCAGTCTTTACCTATCCTTGGCAGTACTTCTTAGCACATGCCAGCCGAGCTCAGTTACCAGGGTCTCTGAGGAGACTGATTTCCATTTGCTCTGGACACACAAAGATTTTGACAGTTTCTGGCTTCCTCTCGCTAAGAGCTGTACCAACCCTACGTGATGGTAGAAGGGGATAAAAATATCAGTCAGGCAGCAGCGGCCACAACCCCCCTTATACCAATTCAGCCTACAAATGCCATCACAAGAATTCTCTCTCTGGATTGCAGATTCCCAGACAACAGATCCATTTACATGTTGATATTATACTACCTGGTTTAAAAAGTGAAGCAGCAAGAATCTGCTTTTACAGATAGCAAACGCATGGGTGGGTAAGTACCACGTTTGATAAGTTCCTGAGCATGTGGTCTTGAATTTCAATGTTTGTACAAAATCAAAACCCCTTGCTTCCCTTATTCTCTTTGTTCTCCAAGTTCCCTTATATTTCCTTCTTGATAGTTTACAGTACTATCTGCCCCAAGATCATGTTACGCTCTTATATCTGGTTTCTTCCTATATCATTTCATTATTCCATGGGTTTTTAGGTGTACCTCTGTATTTATAGCTGAGAGATGCCAGAAACTGTTCAAATGGTCACCTCTTGCATCGCTTAGCCTTTACTATATAATGAATCACCCCAAAATGTAATGGCTTAAAATACCTACTGTTTTTTAGCTGATAACTCTGCAGTTTAGCAATTTGGACTAGGTTATTCCAGGAAGTTCTCACCAGGTTGGCTGGGTTTGGCTGCTTGCAGGGGCCTCAATCATGATGGCTCTTTAAAAAAAATTATATATACACACATACACACACATATATATATATATATAAGCCACCAGGTCCAGGATTCGACCCATGGTCAGCCATGTGGGAGTGTCCAGCACCTTAACCACCACGCCACTTGCTGGTCCCTATTATTATTTAATTTGACCAGAGAGCAAGAGCGAGAGCGAGAGTGAGAGCGAGAGGGAAAGCGAGTGAGCGAGCGAGCGAGAGAGAGAGAGAGAGAGAGAGAAAACAAGAAAACAAGCCACCAGGTCTGAAACTCAAACTGTGGTCAGTCATATGGGAGTCCAGTACCCCAACCACCATGCCACCTGCCAACCCAAAGATGATTCTTTTTTACTTTACTGTTTCTCATCTCCCAGCAGGCTCTGCTAGCATGGTCATAGGGTAACTGCATTGTTCTAAGATCACAGTATAAGAAATTGCAAGGCCTCTTGAGGCCCAGACTTGAAATTCATTCATTGCGACTTCTACCATATTCTATTTTTTATTTTAGAGAGATGTTTGCTATAGGATACATGCCTTTGCTGGAGAGACAGAGAGAGACAGAAAACAAGAAATCACCCCTCAGAGAGGATGACCATGCCACAATCCCTTCTTCATTCTCCTCTCAGGATTTTGGGCATGTACATACACATGTCTGGTGTGAGTTTTAAGTCGCTGGATCCAGGACTCAAACCATGGTCAAACATGTGGGAGTCCAATGATGTAACCGTTATGCCATTTGCTGGCCCCTAACCATATTCTATTGAAAGAAACAAGCTGATTGGAGGGAACCCTACCTCTTAATGGGAGGAACTATGCAGTAATGTGGCCGTTTTTACAATGTACTGTGTTTCAGTGGGGAAGAGCTTGGAGTTGGAGAAGACAGATAAGGACAAACTTTGCTTCTAATTTATAACATGTGTTTTGTTTTAGTTTTTAAAATCATGCACACATACATATTACATAATAATAACAATAATGATCATTTAAAAATATAACTCCAGACATTTTTGTATTACTTTAGTTATACCTCAGGATAATAATCTAATCCACTGACATTTCAAAAGACACATGGTTCCAAGTGAAAAAAAGAAAAACCTAATTCAGGGCTGGCCCTCAGGCGCAGTGATTAGGTGCTGAGTAGAGAAAGTCAGGTCCCACATGGTCGACCAAGGTTCTAGTCCCAGCTCCACTGGCTCAAAAAACACGGTGGGCACATATGCACATGCCAGGAATCCTGACAGGATAGAGAATTGGAAGAAAAAGAATTGTGGCATGACCAGGCCCTGTTGGGGGGGTGCCCTCTCTCTCCCACACGCATTCTCACAGGTACCTTCTCTATCATAACAAATAAAGTCATGGTATGTCTTCATAAAACCTAGTAATGTCGAGTTTAGCATGAAATCTTCTAGCATGGAGCTTGGCACATAGAAAATGTTTAATGAATGTTGATGAAATAAGGAGAAGACGGGGACAAAAAGATACATTAAAATCTGTCCTATTAATTCAATGCTATGACCAATTTTTATTATGGCAACATGGACTTTGATGGTCAAGAAGAGAGATTTGATGTAACTTCCACACACTTGCAGCATGGGCTGCTGAAATAGCAGGCTGACCATCACTGTAACAGTAGCTAGGAATTATAACCTAGGGCAGGATCAAGAGTGTTCTTAAGTCCCAGTCCTGCAAGACACCAGTCTAATTAAGAAATCATGTAGTTTAACTAATGCCGCGAATGCTCTTCGTCTATGTCAAATGGGGCCTTGAAGAAGCATCCAGAGGAATTATTTTTTAAAAACCCCCTTTCTTTAGCAGCTGCAACCCAAATTAACAAAAAAAGCAGAAAGTGACCTACCTCTTAATTTCGTTCAATAGAACCCATATTCAGTTTGGTTTGAATCAGAATAAGATGCTCTTACCAGTCCTTCCGGTATCTCCAAATTAAAAACTGATAAATAGAAACAAGGAGAATATATTAGAGAGATCCTTGCAGAATCTTCTTTGGCTGACTTTCAGTCTAGACTATGTTTTCCTAAATCCTTCTTATTAAGCATGTGCAAGAATAGGCTAGTTATTTATTTAGAGACCATTAGAAGCCATCCTGACCTTTCCCAGGAAGGTCAAAGAGTAGCCTGTTATTTGGATGCCTAATTTAACTGGACAGAGGAAATTGCTCTCCTCATTTTTACTTCGCTCTTCCTAATTGAACTGAATATCAACTTTCCGTGCGATGTTCCCTGGCAAACATTCATGTTCCTAATGCAACCAGATTAGATCAACTGCATTCATCTCCATTGTACCCTGAGATTGCATAAACTGTGGATACATATTTATTGTGTGGATTTCATTTCCATGTTAATTAGAAGGCAGGTTCCTGGAATTTCCTTTCTGAGTATGATAATCTTCTTATAGTCAGCATGATGGAAACAGCTGTGCCTTGTTTACTTTATAAAAGATTGTGTTACTTGCTCAGATGATCATTGCATATATATTTTCTAGATCAAAAAGTTTACCTCCGATTCCTTCTTATAGAATTATCAGAATATGGTAATTGATTGAGAACTTGCAAACTCAATTTTATGAGGTCATTGTGTGTTTTGGGGAGAACATGATGCACAGCAAAAAATGCTGGGAAGTCAGACTAACTAATATGCACTTCGATCCTTTTTCTTCTACTCTAACCTGCATCAGAATTTGAGATTTTTTTAACAAGGACTATGTTTTCAGCCCAGCTGCAGTGGCACATGCTGCGGAGACACTGTGTTCCACTAGCTGGGACCACATGGGAGGCTCAGGTTAGAGTCTTGATCCCACATAAAGGCATCTGTGGTGCCCTGTGCCTATAATCCCTGCTGGGCAGCTGAGGCAGGAGGGTGGCAACCCCCAATATTTAGTCCTTTAAAATTTTTTTACTTTAAAGGTTAACTTTAAAATATATATTTATTTATTTACTTTTATTTATTATTATTATCATTTTTTAAATTTGTTGTAGGGAATGTATGCTCACCAGAGAAAGAGAGAGACAGAGATAGAAAGTGAGAAAACAAGCTGCCAGGTCCAGGACTTGAACCGCAGTTGACCATGTGGGATTCCAGTGCCTTAACCACCATGCTACCTGCTGACCCCACAGTTAATTTTTTTAATTGCCAAAGTTATGCATGTCAAGTGTAGAAAATCTGGAAAAATGGTAATCCCACTATTGTTAACATTTTGATGGTTTTCTTATACATAAAATTGATTTTTATAAAGTGTTTTTGCTCTGTGAATGTAAATATATCAGTTTCCAAATACTTTTTCACCAGTCATCCTTCAAATTCTACCAGGAGGTTACTAGATAATAAAGCAGATGATTCAATCCAATTTCAAGCATAAGCTGAAGATTTTCTATTTGCCACACACTTTATTCTCCGACATAGGTAAGAAGAGCACAAAAATAAGTGACATATCATTGCTTTGTGAAAGTTTATATCCTACAGAAAAGAAGGGCATGGTAGATGAAACTTATAAAAAGAGCAAGATACACGTATTCCAGAGGTTTTGTCCAGGGTACTGCATTTTTCTTAAAATAAAAACTATTTGGTTCACTCAAAAACCATTGACAAAAGAAGTTTCAGTTGTGATACTACATTTTTTGCAAAAGATTGTAAAAACATTTTGCACACTAGTCAGACCTTTCTTTTAGGCAAAGTGCTCTTTTGATGACAGATAAATGAACAAATACACACTATCGTGAACTATTTCAGACACTATGGAAACAGGTTGATTTGTTTTTCTCTTCTAAACAAAAGTTTATTGTTTATAATTTTCTCCAGAGATCCTGCATTTTAGTGTTCTTAAAAGCAAGGATCAGCAACAGAACATTCATTCATTCATTTATTCTTTTTTTTTCTTTCTTGGGAGAGTTTTTTCCTATAGGGCGCGTGTGCTCACCAGAAAGACAGAGAGAGACAGAGAGACAGAAAGCGAGAAATCACCCCCCCAGGGGGGATGGCCACACCGCAATCCCTTCTCTTCCATTCTTCTCTTGAGATCTTGGGCATGCACGCACACATGCCTGGCTTGAGTTTAAGCCACCGGGTCCAGGACTTGAACGGTGGTCAACTACATGGGAGTCCAGCGACATAGCCATTACGCCAACTGCTGGTCCCTCATTCATTTATTCTTGAGCTCTTGGGCATATGAGATTGTACTGCTGTGGCAAAAGAAAGATACAAAAGTCAAATTGGCTGATATTTTGGACCATCCATAGTTGGAATAATCTTCTGTAAGTTTATGGAGAATAAACATAGCCTAGGATGAAATTCTTAGGTATCTGAAGACCTGGCAAACTCCAAAGGGAATAGATGCGATTGAATGTATATTGTTTAGGGTTTAAGTTTGACTGTATATAACAGAAAGCCAATAATGGTGGCTTGTAAAATATGGAAGTTTAAACTTTTTATTATGTAACAAGATTAAGGCCATCAGTTCAAGGATGCTCTGTTGCTCTGTGCCATTCTCAGAGTTCCAGGGTCCTCCTAGCCTTTCCCTCAGTGGTTCTTAGCAGGTACGTAAGGTGAGGTGTAAGCTGCTGGAGCTCCAGTGACCACATCCAGATTCCAGGCAGGGAAAGGGGAAAGAGCGAAGGAGGATAAAATGCTTATGACAAGTGATTCAGTTCCCTTTAAAGAGCTTTTCTAGAAGTCCTACTAGATGACTTTGGCCAGAACTGTGCACGTGACCATTCCTAGCTACAAGAAAGACAAGAAAGACAGAAGTGATTTTTTTTTTCTTTGCTTGTTTTGTTTTGAATTGGGTATACCACAAATACTACCATCCCAAAATCAGGGATAGCAAATAAAAATGGAGGTATAGATACTGGGTAAGCAGTTCACAGTGTCTACCACATGACCTGAGTTTAGTTGTGCATGTCTCTGCGGGTAACCACTATAACTATAACACACATCCTGGTTCTTTTCCTGGTAACTCTTTTCTCCCCTCAGCAGGGACAGACACATCCTTTCATCAGCACAGGCAAGATCAGACAGGAGAAGAATCAAACATCATCAATCCTCATTCTTATTGCTGCTTCTTTACTATCTTCTCAACAAAACTAAAAAAAGTTTAAGAAAAAAAATTGTTCACCTTTGAACTTCAATTTTCACTGCTCCTTTTTGCCATTAAGATAAAATAAATCATATTTTATTTTTCCCTTTCCTGTGCTCCCTGAATTTTAAGCTAGTGCACAAAATGTAGTTTGATTGAGCTTGCTTTTTTTCTCTCTCTCTCTCTCTTTTTTTTTCCGGAGAGGTTTTTGCTATAGGGTGCGTGTGCTCTCCGGAAAGACAGAGAAACACAGAGAGACAGAGAGCAAGAAATCAACCCCCTGGGGGGATGGCCACGCCACAATCCCTTCTCCTCTATTCTCCTCTCGGGATCTTGGGCATGCATGCACACGCACACGTGCCCGGTGTGAGTTTAAGCCACCGGGTCCAGGATTTGAACCGCAGTAGGCTACATGGGAGTTCAATGACAATCCCGCCTGTTTCGCCCCCCTGCCATTGGCTGGCCCATATTTTTCCTTTTGTAAATCCCTTCTTTCAAAATCAAGCTTCTGTTCACCTGTGAACCTTCCCTGACACCCTCAAATTAGACTAGGAATGTCTCCTTTGTGTTTTCCTTCCATTCCACTATGGCACTTACTGTGTATATTGGTAGTTTGCTGTTTTTGTTTTTTTTTTTCTTAAGAGAGATTTTTTACTATTGGGCACATGTGCTTGCCAGAGAGACAGAAAGCAAGAAAACACCCTCCAGGGAGGATGACTATGCTGAAATCCATTCTCCTTTGTTCTTCTCTCAGAATTTTGGGCAAGCACACTCATGTGTCCAGCATGAATTTTAAGCCACCAGGTGCAGGACTTGAACCAAGGTCGACTACATGGGAGTTCAGTGACATAACCATTAAGCCATCTGTTGGTTCCTCCTCTTCTTGTTTTTAAAACTTATTTATTTCTTCCATAAGTTGTGGAGATACAAAGAGAGAGAGAGAGAAAGAGAGAGAGTGACAGGATCCCAACAGGGGCTTGACAGGCATGCCCAACGTGCTCAGGGAGGTCTCCAGCTGCAAACCTGGAACCTTCCCAGGTGGGTCAGCCTCACAGAGTGTCACGTTTTACTGTTGTGCGACCACCCAGACCCAACACTGCTTTTGAGGCCCAGTCCCAGGCTAAGGGCCTGATTCCAGTGACGAATTAGAAAGCAGAGACATTTAACTGCTGGCTGTCATCAGATGTTCTGAGGACATAAAGACTCCTGGGGAAAACCCGGGGTAGGCCAGATGTCCCTCCAATTGATCAACATGCTGTTATTCTTATTTGGGGCAGGGAAAAGGGATAAAAATGAAGATATTATGATGATATAACAATTAGACCCAGACTTTATTTGAAAGGAAAAGTGGCACCAATCAGAACTCAGATGGTCAAAAACCTTCTTGCCTAGGTATTATACCTCAGAGAACAAAAGCAGGAAGTTGGATAGACGCTTATACTCCAATGCTCATGCAGCATTATTCACAATGGTGGAAACAACCTGAATGTCCATCAACAGACGAATGGATAAATGAATGTGCTATGTACATACAATAGAATATTACTGAGCTTTAAAAAGAAATAAAATTCAGAAAATATTTTCAAATTATTACTCAGATAAAAGATTGATAATCAGCATATATACAGAACTCAAGCAGTTAACCTAAAAAAAAAAATAATCCAATTTAAAAATGGGCAAATGAATTGAATAGACCACTCTCCAAGAAAGGCTTATGAATGGCCAAGAGGCATATGAAAAAATGTTCCAACACTCTTGTCATGTGGAAATGCAAATTAAAACCACAATGAGGTACCATTTAACTCCAGTTAGAATAGCTAGGATTAAAAATAAATAAAAAAAAGGAAATCAAATACTGGCAAG